ATCAGTCACACCACCCATTCATCCTCAAGTGGAAGTGAGTGATTCCTGGGACAGTCAGGGGAGATTTCAAACTCAGCTGACCCCAGGAAAGCCAGGGTGGGAACCAGGACACACAGGGAGGGGCTCCGAGGCTGTCAGTGTTGAGCTACTTGCTCTGACTGATGGCTACAGGATTCTATCATGCCCAGACACCAGGCTGCCCTTCTAACTGTCCCCATGAGACCAGTGTGACAGGAACACTACAGGTATAATTCCCAGGGTCACATGGTGGCCACACCACCCAAGGGCACATGGCCACAGGTAGCCAACAGGAGAGTTTGCTTCACATTTGGAGGAAATGGAAGATGAAGAAACATGGACAGGAAAAAGCTATCAGAAACTGAGGACAGCTGGGCATAAGGTGGGTGAGAGTCACCCAGGAGCCTAGGACAGCAAACTGGAATCTGTGCAGTGGCTCACACAATGACTTCAACACTGTCACCTCACAGCCCCACATGCTGAGCACTGGGCATCTGCACAGCTGACTGTGGCTACCTGGCTAGGGGGTGCCTGGCTACTCTAGGGTGTTCCCTGGACCCGGAGAAGGGGACTGTCTATTCTGCCAACAAAGTTCCAGGTCATGTTTGTACAGGGTCTCAGGGGATCCCTGGGTCCCAGTCCCAGTGGGATGCTGCTAGGGGTTCCTCAGTGCCAGAGCATGAGGGTCAGGCACACAGATCAGCCACCCTGCAAGACCCTCCCTGAGCTGAGTAGCTGCAGGAGGCTGGACAGAGCCTGGGTGCTCCAGGGCACACCCACCCTCTTCTGGCTGGACAGGAGGTTGAGAAAGGATGGGAAAGGAATGAAGGGAACCCTCCTACCTCCTCCTTTCCAATAGGGCCCGGACTTATTTTTCAGACCAGAGCCTTGGAATCTGCACTAACTCCCCTAGAGACAGCAGGGTCAGCATAGCACAGCCACGGTATTGGGCAGCAGTAGGTCTGACTGAAGAGGAGAGAGGCTGTGTGCTCAAAGGGCAGGGGCTGGACTGGCAAGCCATTCTCACAGGGCTGTTGGTGTCCTGCCCTGGCTTCAGCATGCAGCTGTACTGGTGACAATGGCCCCGAGCCTGCAAGTACAGTGCCTGGTGCTGGAATGCACCACAGCCAGGACTGGCTGACATGTGCAAGCTGCCAGAAGCCCAGCTGCTGAGTCTGAGATTTCACTCAGCTCCCACCCTGCCAGAAGTATCCATGAGTCTCGGGATGAGAGCCACATCCTGAGGAACCCAGACCATCTTCTCGGGGAGGGGCTCTGAGTCGATGGTTTATGTCCCCACTGTCCCCTCAGGCTTTCAGATCTATGGGTGTTTTACTGTCTCTGGAATACACTGTCTCTGTAAGTTCTATCCATGAGGCCAGAAGAGATCCCCCTGAGACTGTGGGGGACAGTGTGCTGCCAGGCTTGCCCCACTCTCCACAGGCAGTTGACCCTCCTAATTTGCATGCCCACTGCGCTCCTACTGCCAGGCTCTCCTTTAGCTTGGGATATGCCAGCTGCCAGGAGAGCTCCTGCTCCAAATGCAGGCAAAACCAACAAATCTGAGGGACACAGCTTGCACATTGTTCCCTGCCCAAGGAAGAACTTAAAAACAGTTTTATTTTAACTGTATGTGTATGATTTGTCTGCGTGTATGTCTATGGTCCATGCTTGTGCCCAGTGCCAAGGAGGCCAGAAGAGCGCCTCTCATCCCTGGACCTAGAGTTACAAATGGTTATGGTCTGGATGTGGGTGCTGGGAATCAAACCCAAGTCCTCTGCAAGAGCAGCAGGTGCTCTTATGGCTGGAATTTTGAGAGGACAGCCCAGTGTAGGATCCAGAGCCTACTTTGACAACTCCAAGCTTTTGACAGCCTTACTCACTGTGACTTTTGTGACTAGCACTTCCTACGAAGCCATGTCCTCCTTTGCTTTCAGATTTAAAAATCACCTCTAATGAAGAGTCAAACCCAACCTCCATTTGTGTGTACTCTATTCTCCACTGGCGAGGTTGTCACCTCCAGACGCTACCTGCTGAGTCAGAGCTGTCCACTCCAGGGACAATCACACTCCATTCACAGATTCACAAGCACACACAGCCAGAACAAGGGACACAACCCATGGTCCCAGATGTTTTGTGGTCACCATATCCTACAACAAGTGTGAGAAGTGCCAGGGCCTGGCTTGTATCAGTCCACAGAGGATATTATTCCAGACTGAAGCCTCTGGGGCTGAGATCGGATCCAGTCAAATGGCCCCAGGTCCATCTCTGAGTTGAGGGGTGCTGGACTGGGAAACTCTTATCTACCCAAGGCAATAAAGACCAGACACAGACATCTTGTCATTTCAGGGGGTTGGGGTAGTCCATGCTGGAAACTGGAGTCTCCGGTTTATTCTAGCATCCTCCTAAATAGCTTTCCAACAGTGGGGGTGACTGCAGAAGGCATCTACTATCATGTATATAGCTGACGTCAAGTAATTCTTTAAATTCAAGAGGCACCTAACCAGTCCCTAGACAGGTAAGCAAGTTCTCTGAATAGGAGCAGGAACACCTAGGGGCTAGGTCTGTAGTTATGCAAACTATGAGAGTTATCCACTGAGGCCAAGCCATCCGGTGGCAATTTAGCCAGCATCTGAAAGACAATGGGAGAATCAGGCTCCTGAAAAAAGGAGTAGAGGTTTGGACCCCAATACTTTAAATCAATAATTATTGGTCCCAAGAGAGAAGCCCGCCTCTCAGGAATGCAAGCTGACAGAACTCTCACCTGCCTCATCTATGCCAGTCTCATATCCTGCCTGGCACCTGCTCCTGGCTCTAGGCTGGAAGCCATCCTGTGTGTCTCTGAGGGCAGCACAGGAATGTGGAGCTCAGGAGGAAGTAGGGAAGATGGACCTCAAACATACAAGTATCATGTTTGGAAACATTTCTGCCATGTGTGAAGAAGGATGAGGAGGGACCTGTGGAAGGCCTTCCACGCATGTGTGGATGCTTCATCTTAAACAATGAATGCGTGGGTCAGCAAGATGCTTCAAGCCTGACAACCTGAGTTCACTCTGTGGAACCCACATACATTCTGGATGCCAGTGCTAGAGAGATGGCTCAGGGGTTGAGAACAGTGTACTGCTCTTCTGGAAGATGCAAGTTCAGTTCCCAGTACCCACAGCAGGCAGCTCACATCACTTGTAAGTCTGGCTTCAGGAGCATCCAATGGACTGGCCTCCAACAGAACCTTCACTCATGTGTGAACACACACACACACACACACACACACACACACACACCACACACACACACACACACGGGATTTTAACTAGATCTTTGAAAACTTTTACACCTGATGATTCCCATGTATAATTTCAGGTTTCCTACAGTAGGATGAGAGAAAGAGACAGAAGAACCCACAAGCTGTAGGCCCAGCTAGGCTCAGGTAGGAAGCACAGGTAGAAACAAGAGACACCTTGCTTTAAATGAGGTAGATTGAGAGAACCCATTCCCAAACTTTTTTTCTCTGAGCACTACACAACTGCCATGGCATGGGAGCCTCTGTGTCTCTCCCTCTCTCCCTCTCACTGTCTCCCCCTATTTCCCTCACCTCTGTGTGTGTTGCATATTTCTCTCTCTCCTTTCCTCCCAATCCCGTCCCCCACTCTCTCTCCCACAGATACCCCAAACTCTTTAAAAGCAGAACTTTTCAAATGGGGGCTGGATGAGAGCACCTCTCAGACCAGGACCAGGAAGGTGTGGACACCTTCGGGTATCCTAGCCCTTCACTTCCACTGTCATGGAACATCACCCCTATTGTTCCACAGGACCACTGAAGACTCACATAATCACCCACAACCCAGAGACAAACAGGCACTTCTCTGTGTTCCTTACAGCGTGTGTGCACACTGTTTGGAGCTTCACTTACTCTACCAACCTCGGGCATGGGATTTGCCCTCCACCTCTCTACTGAAATGGTCCAGGGGCAAATCAGGGGACTTGGCAACTCATTTCAAAGGCAGAGGTGGCAGGAGGGGGGAATTGGGGTTATGCAGGAGTCCAAAGATGAAGTGCAAATTCTAGGCCAGTACTCTCTGAGTGCCAGGCATCCCACATAGAGAATGATCTGGAAGGTCAGAGACTGGGATGGGAAAAGACCAGGAAAGCAGAAAGGACCGCTGAATGCAGGAGGCAAGAGGCAAAAAAAAAAATGGGTTTCATGAGGCTGTCCCAGAGAGGCCAGTAGTCAGGGCAGGGATGGGGTCTTGGGAAAGGGAGGAAATGCTGGCCATATCAGTCCTGGCCCCAGCACACCTGGCTAAGCTTGGCTGCGTGGTGCCTGCCCAGAAAGGAAACCACATCCCACTCAGGACTACTGTGCTTTTTTTCCCACAAATACTTTATTTACTTATTGAAAACCTCACACATCAGAACTGTATTTGTGGAGACAGAGCACAGTGTAAATGAGGACTAGGGTTCTTAGCGGGTGGGAAAGGAATAGTTTCCACCCTGTTGCTGGACCTTATCACCCCACCAAAAGAGAAAGGGTGGAAAAACATAAGACAAAACCACTTAATGTGCAACAGCTGTCACCAGGGTAGGTAGGCAGGGGGCAAAATCAGGGACACAAAGTCAGCTCTGGCTGGAGAGCAGAGGTTCTCAACTTGTGGGATATTTACATTAAAATTCCTAACAGTAACCCATTTACAGGTATGAAGTAACAAGGAAATAATTGTATGCTTGGGGGTCACATCAACATGAGGAATTGTATTAAAGGATGGAAGCATTAGGAAGGCTGAGAACCGCTGCTGTAGGGTTAGTGGAAGGAAGCAGGATCCCTGGATGGTAGTCTGGCCTCTTCTGCAAGGATGCTGGGCTCCAACCTGTGAGGCAGAGCAGAGTCAGGTCAGCTCTGGCTTCCTGAGCAGTCAGGAGTGTGGGGAGGGCTATGGGAAGCAGAACACTCACTTCAAAGATCTGTGGACAGCACAACACTCACTTCAGAGATCCTGGAACTTTTCGTTGAGGGCCTGCATGATGGCTGAAACACAGAGATACAAATGGGTACTCCAGACATAGACACACAGGAACCTACCAGCCTGAGCCCCATTCTCTGTGCCATAGGAACTTCTAGCCGCCTCACTGTCCTGCAGGCCCCGTGCAAGGAGCCTGGGCACAGGCTTCCCCACCCATCACCGAGCTCTATGTGGATACATTCTCTACAGGAGAACAGCGTAGACAGGCAGTCCTCAAATGCTGGGCCATAGCAGTGCCAGCCCTACTTGTAAAACAAACAAACATGTGACAACAAACACTTCACAAGCTGCAGCTGCCAGGACTTTGAGGGAAACTAAAGCAGGAATGTCTAAATGCCCAGAGAGAAGGGAACCTGTGGGACTCACCTGCACAGCACAGGAGAGAGCATTGCTTCTCATTGTAAGTCCCTCAGTAGAGGGACCATTTCAGTAGAGGGGTGGAGGGCAAATCACATGCCCGACGTTGGTAGAGTCAATGCACAGAGGGCTTCCAGCCTGGCCTGCTTGAGGTCACCTTCCTCAATAGAACAGCCCCTCAGTCCACCCCAATCACCTGTACCCAAACACTAAGCTCTCCCTGTGGCCCTGGTGCCATCACTTCCCTGCCACGGGTCGGTCATACCTAGTTGTTCCTTGAGTTCCTCTATTTCCTTCTGCAACATCAGACACTAGTCCAGCAGACATGGGACAAAAAGAAAGGGAGATTATCACTTAATGTCCTGGCCTTCTCTCTGCTCCATTCACACCTCCCACCAGCCTCAGACCTGTGACCAGACTGGCAAAGAACCTTGGACGGGAAGGAGGTGCCCTCTCTCTGTGGAGTGTCAAATAGGATTCAGCCTATTAGGTTAACTATCAGGTTAACTTTAACAGTCCGCTTGGGAGCTTGCTGGGGCTGGCATTTCTGAGCTGAGAATGTCCTACCTGAGGACAGCCCAGTGGGCTTTGTCTTGCTGGCTGACTGCCTCCAACAGGTAATAAAGCACTCACAGAAGGATCATGGTCCCCTGAAAAAAAAAGAAATAAATGTAGTATGCAGCTTCAAGTTTGGCATTCGGGTGGGAAGGATCTGGTGAAATCTAAATGATACAAACTTCCCCTCTGCTGGCAGAAATTTATATATGTTAGAACATCAGCTCCTCCAAGCTCCTAGCCTTCCTTCTCTGTTGTTCATAGGTAGCCCAGAAGCCCTGGTTACTCCTAGGATGATTGCTAGCCAAACCCAGTACTGGGATGAACTCAGTGCTTGAGCAGGACTCCCGGCAAAACTCTGGTGTGCTAAAGGACAGCCTGTGGAGTTGGAGTTGTCCCACCTTTTAAAGTCATGCATCCCAAAGTCCCACTCATTTCACAATGTGGCCTGAGGCCAGCACTGCCTGTACCCAGTCTCCTGTGGACTCCCTACCTACCCAGACAGGGAAGCCCAAGGAACAAGGCTGCAATCCCCCAAAGGAACAGAGCCTAAGGTTTCCTTCCATTCCCTGTCTTTCCTCACTGCTCTGAAACCCCAAAGACTCACCAGCAGGTGCAAGTGCTCTGGATCTGGAACTTCTCTGGCTCAAGGTCAAGAGCTGGGAGTGTCCTGGAACTTGAGGTGCTCTGAAGTTGGCATCTCCACTGGTCATTTCTCTACGATTCGTGCACGTGGAAGGTTGCTCTGCCCTGTGTGTTGGAAGCTTACACAAAAATTTCTCACTGAGTACATGTTGTGGAGGGGCTGAGGGCAAGTGAGGGAACAAAATGGAGGCTTGTGAGGCTCATCCCATCTGCACCTTCTGTTCCTCGGTCAGACTCAGGTCAGGGGGCAGAGCTCTGCCAGCAAGGAGCCCAGAAGCACTGGAAAGGCTCAGGTCCTGGCCTGGCTTCCTTGGGGAAGAGCTAGGAGGGAGGAATCAGGAGGCCCTTGAGACTGACTACATACCCTCTGAAGGGACAGACGGAACAGGGCAATGGTATGTGCTGGGGGAGGGAAAGGCAGGGTGAGAGGAGACAGAGGCTGCTGTACTCACTTGGGCCTGCAGGCCTGGATCTCTGGATTGGTCATCATCTTCTTTGGCCCCTGGCTGGGATTCCTTTGTCTTCCTTGGGCCCAGGAGGTTAACTGTCAGGTTAACTTTAAAAGTCAGCTCAGGGGCTAACTGGGGCTGGCATTTCTGAGTTGAGAAAGCCCTACCTGTTGGCAGCCCATTGTTTCTGGTGCTTGATATTGCCTCTCGCCAACTGGGAATGGAAAACGTATGAACAACTCCTGCTCACCTGAAAAAACATACACACAAGAGACACACTGGATGTGCCATCTAGGCTTGTGATCCTAGCTGAAAGCGACT